CTGTTTTAAGAAACCTGATGTTTAAATTTATTTGTCGCTTGAATTGTTCAAAAAATCATATAATTTTATCGTTGACTAATGTTGCACACAGTGACATGCGTTTTACTTCGGTTCTCTGGAAACACTGGTATACCTGTCTTTTAAAGGGGCAGTAGTTTTATGGGTGTTCTTGTGCTCTTGTTTTTTATGTATTTTCTGTTTTTATTGTTTCATTTTTAAACTGTTCTTTTATTGCTTTATTTATTTATTTATTTGTTTTTGACCTTGGACCTTGAGTCTGTAATAAAGTGTCATCATCATCATTATGTGGCACAGGAGGAGGTGATAATGATGGTACTACAGTCTTTGTGTCTTTGGAGAGGCACTCTCATGTGACCCTATGGTACAGTCAACACAATCTATTCAAGTAAACTCCACACTCTTCTCTCATGTCTGTCTCTCTCACCAGGGAAAAGGTCGGTACATCTCATGAAGGTCTCCCAGTAAACCAGGCCCAGGGCGTACATGTCCACCTGCTTCAGTGCCGACTCACAGTCCCTCAGGTTCACTGCGCCCTCCAGCACCTCCGGAGCCATGTAGCGGATTGTCCCCACCTGGTAGGTTGGAGGAAGGATAAGTGGAGGTATGTGGGATTTGGGGGGGTGAGAAAAGGGAAGTGATGGAAGATGAGATGAGGCAGAAAGAAAGCAATGGAGAAAAAAAGGTGAGGAAAAGATGTGATAATACAGCATGTTCTGAAGTTAGACACTGCGTTTCCACAGCAAGCTTTATTCTGATACCTCATTTGTTGTTGCATGGTGAGGCCATCAGAGAAGAGCTTTCCACAGGGTTCTCTGTGATAACGTTCACACCGAGGACATATTTTGTGCTGAAGTTTATCACTGGTCATACAGTGGAAAATGTAAACTGACAAATACAAATACATTATTGTAGGAATTCCATAGGCCCCTCCCTGGAACTGACACCTTAACGTGGTGGAGGGGTTTGAGTGCCTGAATGATCCCGGGAGCTATGTTGTCAAGGGCTATATGTCCCTGGTAGGCTCTCTCATGGCAAACAGGTCCTTGGTGACAGACCAGACAAAGGGCGGTTCATTGGCCATTTATGATGGGCAAAAAAAAAATCAAGGCTCACGTTTACCCTGCCCGGTATGGGGTCACTGGGGGCCCCACCCTGGAGTCAGGCCTGGGAGAGGGGCTCGTGCATGAGTGCCTAGTGGCCAGGCCTATACCCACGGGGCCTGGTTGGGCTCAGCCCGAAACCACAACGTGGAGCCACACTTCGGTGGGCCCACCACCTGCTGGAGAGGCCGTAGGGGGCCAGTGTGTTGTGTTTTGGGCAGTGGCCGGGGCCAACTGCCCGGCCGACCCAAACCTCGGACACCGACTCTGGTTTTTGGGACTTGGAATGTCACCTCACTCGTGGGGAAGGAGGCTGAGCTGGTGCAGGAGGTTGAGATACCGTCTAGATATAGTCAGGCTCACTTCCACTCACAGCTTGGGTTCTGGAACCATTCTTCTCAACAAAGGGTGGACCCCTCCTCTATTCTGGTGTTGCTCAGGGGAAGAGGCGACAGGCTGGTGTGGGCTTGCTTATAGCCGCCCAGCTCCGTCGTCAGGTGTTGGGAGTCTACCCCGTTGGATAAGAGGGTAATTTCCCTGCGCCTTTGCGGCAGGGAACGGTCTCTCGCTGTCGTTTGTGCTTACGCACCTAATGGCAGTGCAGAGTACCTGGCCTTTTTATGGTCCCTGGGGGGGGGGGGGGGGGGGGGGGTGGG